CCTGAAGGGATCCTCCTGCAACTCCGTCTGGTGCAGGCATCGCCATTGGCGTATCACTCGGTGTATCTCCTCCTTGACCACCGTGACCAGGGGACACAGGCAAATCCGCGTCTCCAGCTGGACTTGGCGTGGCCATTCAACTTTCCCTTCTTTCACTTTCCGTGACACTGGGGCCCAAGGCTCTTTTCTCCTTGTATTGGGCTCTTCTTCAGCCGAAGGTCCTGGCCTTCAGCTCCGCTACCATAAAACGCTTTACGGGTACGTTCCGGACCCTTTCACTTCACACAGATATTCGCACTTCACTTTTCCTCGGGCGCACGGCTGTCTTGGGTGCGTCCCTTGAGCCTAAACACCACAGTGGAACATTTGTTCCATACTATACAAAATCATGTGGTAAACAGCTCAACTACAGGATTATAGGGCAACACACTCCTAAGCGAAATGTTTGTTAAGGCCACAATAGCAAGATTGTCCCCCTGTATGTGAACAACTCGAATCGAGACTCCTCGCCCGCGGAGGATGATTGCATACTCTAGCAATCGGATCGCGGCTAGTATTGCCGCCTCCGCCTCGGCCTCATAAGCATCCGCACAGTCCGGTGGGGGCAAGGAGAAAGTGATGTCCGCCGTGCCTGTAACGAACTGATGCCATACCGCGACTCCTGCCCCTCCTGCAGTTATGTGCCGCTTGCATCCGCCATCAAACTGGACATACAGTGCGTCAGCGGGGTACCGCTGCACATGAGCAGTGAGGTAAGCACCCGCCGGGATGCTGCAAAGAGCGGTGACGAAGGCATGTATGCGACCACTGTGAAAAACGCAGAGCAAGTCTCTTTTCACTCCACGCTTGAGCCAAACACCGAAGTGTTCAGCAAGGTCTCTTGCGGAGTCTCGCGCAGCAAATTCCGTCTCAACTTTGCTAAACAAAGGAGGAATGACATGCAACTGTCCTAACACTTCTCAGGACTTCTGTACTCACTCAAACAGCAGTGCACAGCCACTCTGTCCCTTGGCCTGTTCCCACCGGCACGAGCGAAGCGAGGGTCGGCGGAAAACAGCAACAGTGCAGTCAGAGCAACACGCACTTCTTCAAGGATGCCCAAAAGCATCTCTAGTGCTGTAAGCGCTCATCACGGTCTTCAAAGCAACTGCAAACATGCTAAAACATGTGTTCGCCATGCAAATGCCTGTTCAAGCTTCCAAAACAAAACAGTTCAAGGCAAAAAGGATGAAACCCTTTCTCATGCGCAAAACAAGCATGTCGGTACTCAAGGGCACACCTAAAAGGAGCAAACTTTTCTTCCCGAGCGTCGCAAAATACACGCGGCTCCAAGGCCTAACAGTACAAGAAAGCAACTAGCAGAGCTACGGATCTGACAGCCTAGCTACGGAAGCAAAACTCTACTGCCCACAGGCCATAGAGTCTTGCTGTTGCACGCGTGAGCTAGCTGGACCACGAAGCAGGCGGGTGGGAGCCGACAAATTCAACGGGCATGCACGGCAAGCCACCTCGCAATTTCAATCCTTACAAGGACGTCTGCACCAGTGTGACACGTGACTGGTGTGCCTGAGGTCAAGGAGCCCTGCATACGAGCAGAGCTGTGCAGCTTGAGGCCCTGGTGTTGCCAGAATGGCAACTTCTGTAAGAGAGTTCGCCGAAAACCCGCAGCAGCAGCCTTTGTACACTTTCTACACCTAACAAACTACCGCCGACTGTACACAGCGCCGACAAGTGATCGCATGAACACGCCAAGTGCCCACGCCATCACTTGTGAGTTTCCAGCGTAGTTTTTGACAAGTTTCGAACCAGAAAACCAGAACCATGCCCAGCACAGGTAGCAGCTGAAGGCATTGAGGGTGGCCTTAGGAAGAAGTGCACATATTCATCAAACCACCGGGTGATACCCGACTGCTGCTCACCATGGGAGCGCATGCAAGGACAGTGCCAGCACAGGCAGCAGCTGCAGTGGCCAAGGCCACATACACGTGACCGCGTAACAAGAGTTACACTTACACCTAATTTTATTGCAAACCAAGCGCCTAGCAGGCTCAAGTGGAAGGCAGCGCTAATGCAGCCAGCAAGGCGCAAAAGCGGCACATCTCAACCACGGTGCTCGCGTAAAGGACAACTTGGCTTGTTTTGGCGTAGGTTTAAATGGGAGTTTCTTCCCGTGCGGCAGAAAGGATTCGCGCGGCTCCAAGGCCAAGACTGATCTGCCCCGTGGCCTGATGTTACCAGGCCATTACAAAACATCACAGTTGTTCTGTTGCTAAGGCCCGAAGTCGCGGGTAATGCATATTCATCAACCAGGCAAGGAAGCATGCAATCACACCCAACAACCGGCGGGGCTAGCCTAAAACCCTTAACCCTAAGGCAATACAGGCGGGTGCAGCCAACAGCGCACACCGAGCATGTGACCTGTAGGGCAGCAAATTAACTGCGGAAGGGTAGCATACATCAGATGAAAGCCACGGCGAGCGGTGTTGCAGCCAACAGCCGCATGACCACCTTGGACCGCCAACGACACGGGTGCAGCCAGCAAGCGCACTCCAGCTTCCACCAAGACATGTTTGAGGTTTGCTTTTTTTTTTTGGAAACCCTAGCCCAACCCTCGAAACAGCCCGAGAAAGGTGCTCACCGAAACGACAAACGGGTCTGTTTGGAGGTGTCCTTAGACTTGGCTTTGGGCTTGCCCTTAGGTTTGGGCTTAGGTTGGGCAGAGCAAGGGGAAACAGAACTGCCACCGCCTTGCTGCACAACCTCCGCAGGGATTGACTCTTTGGCCTCAAAGGATTCCTCAATGGACCGGCTCGTATCAGCTTCAACCTGGGCCATGGAACGCACTCTCGTTTGGGCGTTAAGTTTACGCCCGAGCCCTTTGCAAGTGGACTTCAAGACCGACGACGACGAGGTGGCACCAAGTTTAACCATGGCAAGACACTTGGAGCACATAAAGAAAGAACCCTTATTGACCATGTCATGACTGCCATGTATGCCCCAGCAGGCGGGAACCGGGGCAGCTCTGTCGCGACAAGGATTGGACATTTTGCGATCAGAAACCTCAGGAGGGTTACACTGCTCCACATAAAGCTGGCAAACGGTGCACTGGATCGCAAAGTTATTGCTGGCTTTGGCCTCGCAATCCTTCCAAACATGACCCAGCCCAGGGTCCGGGTTGGCGAGAGCCTCCTTAAGGCGTTGTTTTTTGTTGGGTTTGGGCTGACTGCTGGGCTTGCCCTGGGAAACGATCGAGGGCTTAGCATCCTGGGGCGAAGGCTGGGAATTGAGGCACCTATCAAAAACCCAAGGGAAACCCTTATCTTTTTTGTGCTTGAGGACATAGCCAATTTTCTTAGCCAGGTGCAGACAAATTTCTTCACAGAGCCCATCCAGAACAGGAAGATTCGGCTTAGTCGCTGATTGGAACACTTGCGCAGCCCTTTTGCCACATAAAGAATCAACATCCTCGTTCAGCAAACGCCGCCATTCAGGGATGCCTTTATCGGCATAATAGGAAGAGTCTTTATGACTGGGCACCCAAGTGATATTAGCCCTTGACCTGTCACCCCAAATTTCACCCCAAGGGACCGGGCCTTCAAGGGGCGGCAAGCTTTTCCGTAAAATGTGTGTGATGGCCTGACAGTCCACCGTCAAGTCGAAAGCACCGGAGACACGACCAAAGAGCTCAAAAGCAGCCTGTTGCTCCGCACTGGCCACCGACAGGGGCTCTTCAGGAAAACACGTGATGCTAGCAACACGCTTCGGCCCGTCCGGTGCAAGCTCATACGCCGCAATGGCCCAAGCAACACATGCCGCGCGGTGGTCACGGGCACCTGGTCCACCCGACGCATCTGAAGCAAAAACAAGACTATCACTATTAAGGACCCGTCGGCTGCTCCACAAACCCTCGCAAACCAAACCCTTCTGCTGATCCGTACCTCCCAGTGACGTGGCACGCTGTGGCAACAAACCGCGCAACCAAAGACATGGCCAAGGGAAACTGCGGCGGGAGGCCGGGAAATGCGGTGGTTCAGGATACTTGGAAACAAGAAAAGGGCAGTCCCACAGAACATGCTGTAAGCTGAGAGGACAGGCACACAGTTTGCAGTACCCGGGCTTATTCTGACCTAAAAGTGATCCTTGCCAAAGGGCTTGCAAACTAGTCGCCATACTCTTATTGAAGAATTTGCGCTTAAGCAAGCGGTGAGGGACCTTCAAGTCGACTCCAGAGTCTAAGGATTCACAGGCTTCCAGCTGAGATACACGAAGCAACCTAGCGGCCTCCCACTTAGGCAAAAGCCAATGCCACACCCGTCGGGTGGCGTCAAGACTGGCCCAATCAATGATAAGGAGACACTCGCCGCACGTCCAACGGTGGGACTGGGGCGCTTGCACACCTAAATCCATCAAGTATGCCAAAGTGGCCGCCAAGGGCCCATTGACGCGCTTCCAAGGTTGGGGCGACTCTGAAAGCCAAGCCCAGATGTTGGCCCAAGTCGATCTGAATTTCTCCGGGTCCGAGATATGCCAACGACGGAAAACCCTGGCAACCGCTCGAAAATGCTGCTTCAAAATTGTGAGGTGCGGGTCCTCACACTTGTGACGCAACAAAAGGAAAGAGACATCAAGCGAGCCTAACTTTTGGCGGCCGATGGCCTTTGCACAAAGAGTCCTGTACCACTTGCGCCGCTTTGGACTGACACCTGCAGCCTGATGCCCCCAAAGACCTGCAGAGCATATGGAGGCCCGGGTAATGCGCACCTTATGTGAAAGGTTGGCAAGGCCCAACTTGCGCAGTTTAGACGCCCTGCCACTGGCCTTAGCTCGCCTCATCTCAGCTAAACCCAAAACCCTGCGGCGTGCACCCCCCGATGTGACACCTAAGTCCCTGGCAAAGGTGCGGACTTCAGGGTCTGTGTCAACTCTAACAGCCTGCAAGCATTTAGCCGCTTTAGAGGACGATGCAACAAATGAAGTCTTATCCAATGACAACTTGGCACCATTTGCCTCGATGCTGGTACGCAGGCTTCGAAACAGCAGCACAGCGTCTGAGGCAATCTGTTTGGCCGAGGCACCGACACAGTCAAGGGACAGATCATCTATCCATACGTCCAAATTGGATGTCGCACGCTTGGAAGTGGCCGCAACTGCAATGGGGTGCACAACAAGTTTGCTGATAGAAGGGGCGGCCGGGCACCCAGCCAGGACCCCCTTCGTGGGAATAATGGCCGGGCACAAAGACCCTTCAGATTGAAGAAAACGCGGGCCCATGTACGTAAGAAGGGCCTGGTGCAATACCAGGGGAGGGTACCCCAAAGAAAGGCCAGAAGAATGACATCGTTAAAACGGCATCTATCATAGAAAGTCTCCATGTCAATGAAAATTGTAACTAAGTGCTGACCGGACTGTCTAGCAGCCTCGCCTCTAAGTAAGCGTCCCAAAGCGACGTCCAGCACTTGACTTCCAGGCATTGCCTTATCCCAGACCGCGGCTTTACAGTACTGGAATTGCCAATCGGAGACCAATTTCCACCTCATGCGCACCCAAGTGCGGTAAAGCACGTGCAATAGAGCAATTGGTCTCTCCCGCTTCTCGCTTTTTGGGAGGAGGGCAATAAGTGCAAACAGCATCTGGGCAGGCCAAGTGGCCTCAGTTTCACAGTGGTGAAGAAATGAAATGATGGATGCAACAGCCGGTCGCTGCAAATTTTTTAACACCTCAAAAGTCCACCCGTCTATACCTGGTGCTTTGCTGGGCACTCGCTTGAACGCCGCAACCGCCTGATCTAGGGGAATTGGCCCAAGCTCCTTGGCCTGCATTCGGGCACGTTGCCTGAGATCACTGAGGAGCGCCGGTTCGACCCCACCCGGCGCGGACCAAAGCTCAAACCACTGCCTCCACCTAAGGTAGATGCGATCCTGCACAGGCTGGTGCAAGAAAGGGCGCAGCTGGACAGCTTCCTCCGCTTTAACACTGGTAAAAAGGCCACGCAAGCCTTTACAAGAAGCCTGCTTTAGCCACTTACCGTAGCTTGCGCTCTGCTTCTGCATCCACAATTTGGAATGGTGACGAAATTGTTGCTCCGATACCTGAATCAACTCTGGAAAAGCCGAAGGCGCTACACCTTTAAGAACAGCATCGAGCTGGACTTGGAAAACACTGAGCTCGGCTGTGGATCCGTGCCACATCGATTCAAGCTGCGACCAAAATTTGTGGCCAAAGGGTGCAGGACAACTTCGCTTCGCCGAAAGTTCCAGCCAAACAAGGACACGCTTCCAGAAGGAGGCCTGAGCCCCCCCCAAGCACCCACAGGTGAGGTATGGCGCAAGAGTTTGTCACGGCGAAATTTGGGCAGGCAGCCTCGACCTTGAGTGCAGCCATAGACCGATAACTCAACAGAGCTACTGAGCTTCGCAAAGGTATGTGTGAGGGCCGGCTCAGGTATGGAGCCACCCCAGTGCCAGGCACAGGCAGACTCCAGATCAGGCGGAGGGCCAGAGCAACCTGCAAAAGGAGGCTCAAAGGGTTGCGGCATAATGGGCCTCGGCTTGAAACCCACAAGCTGTGGAAACCTCAACTCACACTGCCTCCTGTCAATGCACCAGTGCAAAGCAGCATGTGGAGCAAACGGAGTGATCCAGTCAGCCCGGACCGAAACTCCCAAGGCCAGCCCTTTGGAAACTAAACCAATCAATGTTACCACCCCCGGTGCACGTGGAAGCCCCCGTGTGGACCCATTGGCCCCGAGCTTCCTGCGCCAAACTGGTGGTCACCAGAACACTGATGTCTTCATTGAAGTCGCCTGCAACAAGGAATTCACCTTGCAGCGACCTAAGGAAGGGAATCAAATTGGAAAGAATTATGGCATTAGTCGGGCCCCGGAAACCCTCCCCTGTCTTCAAGTACACATTGACGAGGAAGATATCAACACCCCGGATGTGCAGAACCACAGACTGAAAACCAACACCTTGGTGAAGAAAGTGGTGGCTTTTACGGACATCAAGGTGCTTCTTAAACACAATCGCAAGGCCTCCGGAGTTGCCACCTCCCCCAGTGGGGTGTCCTGGCAAGCTGAAGGCCTGATAGCCAAAGGCCCCAACATGAGTGGCCAGCAAATCCCCTTGCTCCTCCTTAATGTGTGTTTCCTGCACCAGCCAGAGGTCTGGACTGATCCCCGCAAGAAAGGTTGCTAAGGACTTGCGCCACGTGGTGACATTGGAGCTGACTAACAGCAATTTCTTTCCTTCGGCATTGGAGTTAAGATTTGCGATGACATCCCTGATAGCCGAGGCTGCAACGTGCCAAGGAACATCATCACCGGCTTCAACAGCAAGCTCAGCAGCAAACCAGGGAAAGGTATCTTCAAGAATATATTGGCCCGCCTCTAGGGCCTCCACAGCTTGAAGCACTTGCACATGACACATATGCTCCAACCCTTGCAGCAAGCTGGCCCAAAGGGCCGAAACCCCTGGATCACCAGACTGAGCGAGAGCACTGCCCAACCAAGTTGAATGCACAAGCACCTGGTCAGCCTGAGTGCAGCCTGCAGGGCGCACAGCAACGACTGGATGGGACATCGCATGCCTTTGGTCACCAGCCTCAGGGCATGCTGGAACCGGGTCGTCATGAAAGTTCGGGCCACACCCGGAATTCTCAGACAACGGAATGTATTGCTCCCTCCAGGGTCCTCGGCCAGCGGCCACACCTCCTCCTGCGGGCCAATCCTCCGCCTGTGTGATATACCCATCCTGGACCCTGGAGGGAAACTCTATTAAGGGAAGCAATCCCAAAAGTCCGACCCCCAGGACCCTCGCCCAGCGGGCACACCTCCTCCTGAAAGAAACCACCACCACTATAGTCACAACCACCCTCCTCCTGGGCCCTGGGGGCCCTCATGGCATCAAGATTGGCAGCCGCGCAACCCAAAAGATGCTGGGACCGTGGAATCGGCCGGCTCTCAACCTCAACGGATAACCCAGCTTGAGACTCAGCATGGCCCTCGCGGCGCTTGGCACGATTGAACCTTCTGCGCGCTCGCCTAGAACGAAAGTGAGGCCAAAAGCTGGATATAGTGCCACCGAGATTGGGGTTAGGGTCCCTCAGGGCGGCACACGGGTTGGGGTGTTGAAATGAAAATTCCCGGCCCGGCTTCGAACTCTGGCAGCCATTGACGACTGCGTCGGAACAGACCGGAAAGTCATCACCCAAATCGCAAGGAAAGAATTTAGGCCCTGAAACCGCCCCGAAGGCCTTGCTAGGTTGCACTGGGGCGCGGTAGCTACGCTTCGCCCAAAGGCACAATTAAGCAGGTAGCACAGTATTGGTGGCAATCCCGGAGCGCCACCTCTAGCTGTGCACAGGGCCTGTCATTATGAAGCTGAGCACATACCTGAATGAAGTGCTGGGCCCTTTCATTCCCGGATGCTGCAAGAACAGGCGCACACCCACATCCATGACACCAGCATGCAGCCTGATATGAGTCGCAGTCCTGATCGAGCTCACCGATGCTGTTTATGAGATTCTCAAAGGTCCTGGGAGGGTGTGCAGCGGTGTGCCAGTTGACCTCACAGCTTGGCCCATGAAGACCAAGCAGCTCCCCCTCCCCGGAGGCACGGAAATTGGGGTTCGGGCCCTCGAAACAAGGGAAAGCACACAGGTTAGGGCCTGGAAATGCAAAATCAACACTGACTTCACATGCTTCATCCCCCTGCCAAGATAAGGCCTCTGCCCTAGGAACCCCGAAAAGCAACTTGCAATGAGACCTGGTGGCTGGAGTGACGATAGGAAAAACAATGTGCACAGGTTCACCTGACAGCACATCCACATCCAGCAAAATGGCCTGTCGGGTGCGAGGGCACGGCAAAGAACCAAGCTGGCAATGATCACACAATGGCAGCATGCAAGGCTCCTCCCATGCAATGTGTAGCTGTAAGGGCACTTGGCAACAGGCACAACACCACTCATGACATGCCGGCTGCAGCATCCCTCCTAAAATTGAAAAACCACCACTCAAATGCCTAGCTAACCGACCTTGCACACAGAAATTTGCACTCGAGCTCGGACCGCCACAGCTTCGCGCTGACGCAGCCCAGCCACGAAACTTGCCTCGAAGGTAGGCTCCCTGGCGGCAAAAGTGGCACACTGCACTAGAACTCTCATCCGAGTGAAAACTGCTTGCAAAAGGCGACTCACTCTGCACTGGCGCTGCACACAGGGAACAAGTATCAGCTAAGATACGCGGCAACACTGGGCAGAGCTGAGGCCAACGCCCAACGGATATGTCCGATTGTAAACGAAAGGTAACAGCATGTGTGGGCCTAGGATGGGATTGCAGGGCCGAGACTCGCGCATGATCATAACTTGGCACTGCAGTGGCACCCACAAGATGCGAACGGCTATGACCGCTAGGCTGCAAAGCTTCAAGCTTACAAGACAAATCCCTAACCCCAATCCCTAAACCCTACGCCTGCATCTGCTGCGGACCTCCCGCCGGGACCTGAGAAGCCACCTGCCCCAAGCCGGGCGGAGCTGACGTGATCCCTTCAGGACTCTTTGCATCGTGCTTGCGCTTCTTGATGGCATGACCTTCCTCAACAGACTTCAGCTTATCAATCTGCTCTTGGGTCAAAGTGATGCCAGCATCAGCAATCAGCTGCAACAGCGTGGTATCCTCAGCGGATGCTTCCTCAGATGGATCCGTCAAAACAGCCTGCTTAAACTGTTCCGAGACCTTGGCAACTTCAGCCTGGGCTTCAGAAATCTGGGAAAGCAACTCTTTCATGGATTCCAATTGCTTGCGTAGCTTCATCTTCGTGTCATCAATGCAAGACTGAAGCTGAACTTTCTTATGCCCCAGATCACGCAACCGCAGCGTGCTCGTCTTATACTCCCTAGCTTCATGCAATTTGTCCTTAACCTCCTGTGGGAGGGCAGCCTCGTGAGAGCGCAGCAAGGCGAGCAGGTCATCTTCTTTGGGAGGTTCCGGGGGTTTAACCCCTGCGCTTGCCAGTTCCTTCTGCACATCGGGAGCAAGCTTCTCCCACAATGACTGCAGTGCACGGTGCACAGTACCGTCCTGATTGATGCCCCTCTGGCCCTTCTGCTTCTGGCGCGTTGCCAACCCTCCAGGGCGCCACGTACGCTGCACTTCTGTGTCCTCCTCCGGAGCCTTTCTGGCAGGCTTGGTCCAGAGGCTCTTGGGCCAAGCCTTTCCACACTGCTGACAGCAAGGACGCTGGGCCCCTATTCTGTCTGTCCAGATCCATGCCCCGCATGAGCAGACAGAGTAAGACCGACGCGTCTTGCCTCCTGCCATGGTGACTCCTTCTTTGTGTTTGCCTGCAAGAAAAACTCCTCAACTGTACTTTTGCAACAAGTAAACGGGCAATTTTGCAAGGCCCAAAATCCAAGAAAATTCTGCACAAGAAACAAGGATTGGTTCACAAGGTGCAAGAAGAGTTTGCAAGCGGTTTCAAGCAGTGGTTCAAGTAACTATGGCACTACGCTACTGCACTTCAGCCGGAGCTGGGACTGCCGCTACCCCTGCGCGCCCGTGCGGGACAGCCCGCCTACGAGAAAACACAGAGATTCGGTTTGAGGTCTCTTGGGGCCCACCCTTAGATACGGCCTCAGAAGCCCAGCGCCACGACGGCAACAAAGCGTCCACTCGCCTTGAGCCAGGAGCATCTTGAGCCAGAGCAAACTTTTCGGCGCCGAGCTGCAAGCCGTCGTAGACGAGTCAGAAGGATGAATTCACATGCAAGTGAGAAGAACCTCAGCCACTTTGGGCAAGGGCGGCCCTACGTCCTGGACTACAGGTGGCTAGTTACACCCGCCAACCTCAGTCGTTTTCAGACGAGGGGTAGGCCCTACCAAAGACTGTACAGGCGGGGTTCTACCGGAGCCCTGGCAAGCTGCCTCAGAAGCAGACCTCAGCCGAACAGGCGAGGAAAGGACCGAGGGATGCCCGGGGCACTCCCAAGCACCGCTGAGGGTCGAACCTCAGCCGAAAGGCGAGGAAGGAGCCAGAGGTGTGCCTGAGGAGACGAGTGCCGAAGCTCGGAGCCTACGGCACAGGAGGCTGGGCAGCCTTTGCCGCTGCCAGCTCACGCCTTCGCTTGGCCACATAGGCCGTGGTAAGGCGGACGTGCCTGGAGGTCATTGCATGGGCTTCCATCAGTTGTTGATTGGAAGTAGTGACGCCGCATGCAAAACAGCGGAGGAAGTTCTCGCTGAAGACCTGCACGTGAGCCGGCTCTTGACGTGCCTCAGCTGGAGCCGGACCTCTAGCCGGCCGGCGAGGAGACGAGCTTGGAGAGTCCGTAGCTTCGTCGCCCGAGACCTGTGAGGGGTTCGGGAAGCTAGGGCTGGCCGCCCTCTGCTCGGCAACCGCTGCGAGGCCATCGAGACCTGGCTCTGCAGGGTCCGGCGGGGCCGTGGAGAGACCCGAAACCTCAGCCAAGCAGGCGAGGGTCTCAAGGGGACCACTTCCAGCTGTGGAGGCAACGCCAGGAGTTGCAGCTGCCGAAGCAGCGGTGGCGATTGTGGCCCCTTTACCCGGGCCACGGGAGGCGGAACCCACGTCCGGCTGCCGAGGAGGGGCCGGGAAAGGGGAAGCGACCTCAGCCGAAGGCGAGGAAAGGCTCTTAGGACCTGTCGGAGGACAGGCCTCAGCCGCCGGAGCGGGCCGAGAGCCGGCCGGGGCTAAGGAGGCAACTCCTGCAGTGACTGAGTGCTCCACCGGTGCGGGAGGCCCACGGTTACGGGGGTGAAAGCTCATCGGAGGACCGGTTGGTTCCGGGAGCGGGGAAGACCCACGTGTGGCCAGGGAAGCAGCACAAGGGAAACCTCAGCCGGAGGCGAGGAGGTTGCTGGGGAGAGCTCAGGTGCCACCACTCGTTGGGGAACCTCAGCCACCAAGGGCGAGGGCGGCACCGCGAGATGCGGGCTGTCATGAGCCGCGATCTCATGCTCGTCCACGAGCAACCAGCGAACTCCTGGCTGGAGTTGCGATCCTACGGCCCGGTGGGTTCCGAGGAACCCACCGTCCGGCCATATTCTCGCGCTGCGGCAGGTAAAACCCGCCAGTCGCGAGGAGAAACTGCAACGAAGAGAGCGGGTTGAGCGTGAGGCGATGCCAATCGCCCTGCCCCCCCCGCCTTGTTTCGATCTCGAGATAGAGCACATCCGGATCTTTGCGCTTCGGCGGGGGGGGGCGGGGGGGGTTGGGCTTGGCGACGGGGGGTGGGAGGGGGGGGTTGTCTGCCTGGTCGCCGCTGCCACCGGGGCAGGCTGCGGCGGGGGGCAGGCAGATCCCGACGACTTACTGGCCGTCGTTCGGTTCGTCACGCGACGTGACCAGGGAAAGGGCTGGTCTTCGTCGTCGTCGACCTCAGCCCTTCGGCGAGGAGCAGGTGGTGGTGCGGGAGGCGGGTTCGCCTGCACCCTCTCGCGGTCCTGCTCCTGGCGCGCTTTGGCCTTAGCGCGAGCGGCCTTATCGGGACGCAGCTTGCGTCTTGACAGGGAGCTCGTGCTGTGCCATATGCCCGTTTGGTCAAAACGGTCCTGCTGTTCGCGGGCGTGGCGACCCTTTCCCTTGGGCGCCATGGTCGCCCTCCTTGAGCCGAAGCTAGCGGAAGAACTGAGTGACCGAAGGGCACGGGTGGGAAGGCTTGGGCTTTGGCTTGGGCCGTGGCTTAGCTTTGGGCTTGGAGGCAGGGGCGCTAGGGAGAGCGAAGCTTGGAGCCTTTAGAGCTGGGGCCTCAAGTGCCAAACCAGGGCTAGCAAGAGCCTGGGCCCGGGGAACCTCCGAAGGAGACCTGGGGCCTTCGAGAGGGGAGGTGGCTTTGGGGTCTGAAACCTCAACCGAAGTGAGGGCAGAAGCAGACGCAGAACCCTGAAGCGAACCCCAAGAACAAGGCACAGGAGGGACCTTAGGGGGAGCGGCAGAGCAAACTTTTCTTCGCCGGGCTGCGAGCCGTCAGAGACGAGTCCGAAAGCGAATTCACATGCAAGTGAAAAGCTAGGAGAACCTCAGCCTCTTTGGGCGAGGGCGGCCCTACGTCCTAGACAACAGGTGGCTAGTTACACCCGCCACCTCAGTCGTTTTCAGACGAGGGGTAGGCCCTACCAAAGACTGTACAGTGCGGGTTCTACCGGGGCAAACTGCCTCAGGATCGAACCTCAGCCGGACTGGTGAGGGAGGAAGCCGAGGGGTGCTCTGGGCACTCCCAGGCACCGCTGCAGGGTCGAACCTCAGCCAAAGGCGAGGAAGGAGCCAGAGGTGTGCCTTAGGAGAGGTGCCAGGGGTGGCACTGGAGCCTAAGGCTCGGGAGGAGTGGGAGCTTGGGCTTCAGCTTGCCTCAAGTGGCTCCAGCTTCCCAGGTGGGAGGCCATTTCCACTGCAGTGGAAGTTAAACGCACGCTCAAGCTCCCGCCGTTGTGGCGGCGGGCCCGCAGCCCGCTGCTGAGGAAAGCCCGGGGCCGAGGACCGGCGGACCTGTTGGCGCGGGCACTGGGGGAGGGGGAGTAGGGTTGTCGGCCGGCCTGGTCGCCGCTGCCGCTGAGGCAGCCAGGGAGGAGGAGGCCGGGGAAGGGTTATCGGGCTCTTCCTCCATCACAACCTCAGCCACAAGGGGCGAGGGGCCGGCAGAGCTGGACGACTTGGCCGTCGTCCGGTTCGTCACGCGGCGTGACCAGGGAAAAGGCTGGTCATCGTCGTTAGCCTCAGCCCTTCGGCAAGGAGCAGGTGGGGGAGCGGGAGGTGGGTGCTCCCAGACTCTCTCGCGGTCCTGCTCCTGGCGCGCTTTGGCCTTAGCGCGCGCTGCCTTATCCGGCCGCTGCTTGCGTCTGGACAAGGAGCTTGTGCTATGCCAGATGCCGGTCTGGTCAAAGCGCTCCTGCTGCTCACGAGCATGGCGACCCTTGCCCTTGGGCCCCATGGTGCCCACTTGAGCCGGAGCTAGCGGAAAAACTTGGTGACCGAGGGGCAGGAAGGAGGAGGCTTGGGCTTAGGCTTGGGCCGGGGCTTTGCTTTGGGCTTGGAGAGCAAACTTTTCTCGCACACGCTTCGCAGAAGCAGCCCGTAGGCTTGTCCGACATGCATTAATTAACTCCAAGTATTTTGGAGTCATCCGCATTTGCGGGCATCGCCAAAGTGGCGGCAGTGGCTACTCCTACCAAGAGCTGCAGGCTACCTGACCTACCTGAGCTAATGGCAGGAGTGGAAAACCACTTCCTGGGAGTGGTGAGCCACGTCCCAGTGAAACAGGACGAAAGTCCTACAGGGAGGGAGCCTCACCCGAACGGGAGGTTCACCTCACCCTGCACAGCATCCTGTCTCTGCCCAGGAGAGGGTCAGGCTAGGAGGCCAAAAACCGCCTGACCCTCTCCTGATGCCCGGGGGTCATGAAATGGGCTTGCATATGTTCGATTGTAGGGCACCCAACCTTACAAGCGTAACAAAAAAGCCCATCCGGGCTGTGGACATCTCGGTGGGGGCCATACGAGGGTGGTGCCACCACAACCTCTTCAAGAGCTGAATCCGCGGAGGGAAGCTCTTGAGGGGGGGGGCACCCCGTCCCTCCGTCAGACCCCGCACTCTCGGCCGGGGCTGGCCCACTGGCCGCGGGGGCCTCCGGCTGCTGGGCCGAAGACCCAGTAGCCATGAGGGTCCTTTCGCCCTCGCGAAGTTGGTTGTGCATGGGCAACCGAAGGTCCAGGATCGCCTCGTCCGGCCAGACCTGGAGGCAGTCCAAGCCCCCCAGCTTGAGCCTGTTGCGACACAGGCTGAGCACCGGCGGTTGGCGACACTCTATGTCGAGGCGCATAACTGCGTCCGCCGGGGCGCTGCCTGGGACCTCTCCCCTGTTCCTCTTCCGGGAAACAGCGGCGCCCTCGGGAGGGAGGGGAGGAGGCCCCTCAACCCTCGGTGCACTGGCAGGTGCAGGGCTGCTTGCAGGAGTTTCGGGAGACTCGTGCACTCCCTGCTCCCTTTGGGTGGCCTCCCCCGGGCCGTAGGAAACCGGAGGGCCCGCGGGCGGAGTCTCCCGACCAGGGGAGTGAGGTGGCGCCTCCTGAGGCGCAGGCTCCCGCGCACTGGCAGTGGTGGCGGGTCCTGCGGAGGACGTGTCGCGGCTGGAAGCCGGACCACCTGTTCCTTCCTCAACCCTGGAAGGGGAGGTTGAGCCCGTTGAGACCGGTGCCCCGGATTCGGGTTGGTGGCCTCGTCCTGAGCGGGCACCTCCTCCTTGGGTGCGGCTGCAGGCGCCAAGGTGGCACCCTGGCCGGAGGGTGCCTCCTCTAAGCCGGGACCCG